CCTCCACTTTGCTGATGACATCATTCTAATAACACCAAACATTAGCCAAGCGGCACAAATGCTGGCCAACTTCGACCGTGAGTGTGGAAAGGTCGGACTACAGCTGAATCTCATGAAGACAATGTTTATGAGAAACAGTCTTGTTCCTGAGGTTCCATTTGCTCTCAACGGAAATACCATCTCCGAATGCAACAGTTATGTGTACCTACGTCGAGAAGTCAACATGATGAATGATCGGCACCTGAGTTGCGCAGGAGGAAGAGAGAGACTTGGAACGCCTTCAAGAGCATTGAAGAAATAGCTAAGAGGAAGAAGAACCTCCGGCTTCGGGCATATCTCTTCCATTCCACTGTTCTTCCTGCATTAACATACGACTCAGAGACCTGGGCACTATGAAAACAGGATGAGAACGCTATTTGGGTCTCCCAAAGAGGAATTGAAAGAGCTATGCTTTGGAGAATCACGTTTCACTCAAACGAAAGAAAGAATCGGGAGTTCAACCTCCGACCTCCATTGATGATCATGAATCAGGGACACTGTCTCGTTTGCCAACGCATCGAAAATCAGATGGGCTGGACATGTAATGAGATCTGGAGACAACCGCTGGACTAGAGCCATTACCGACTGGATTCCACGGGACATCAAAAGACCGTGTGGCTGCCCACCTATGAGATGGTCAGACCCTGAATGATCGGTTTGAGGCTCTTCGTGTTCCTAGAACAAGTAGATGCCATTGGGCTACACTAGCACATGACAGGGATGAATGGAGATGTTACTGGCACCCACTCAAGTAAATCGATAAGTAACGGGATGTCAAGTGATCAAATGAACACCCAAAAGAAGAGAAAGAGTAAAAGGGAATGTGCCTGCCACAGAGGCAGGGGTGGGGGATGGAGGGGTGACGAGAGGGATACTGGGAACACTGGTGGTGGAGAATGGGCACTGGTGGAGGGATGAGTACTTGATCATTGTATGACTGAAATGTGATCACGAAAGTTTGTAAATCTGTAACTATCTCATGATGATTCATTAAAAATTGTTTTAAATAAAATAAGAAGCAAGCCCTGAGCACAACTGGTTGTGGCTACAAAACTAAAAAAACAAATCACTGTATCACTGTCATCCTGTTGTTCATCAATTGCCTCGAGCAGGCCCCAATAATGTCTCCTTCGTCCTAGCCCTGAGATTTTATTTTTTATTTATTTATTTATTTTTGCTTTTGGGTCACGCCCGGCGATGCTCAGGGATTACTCCTGGCTCATGCACTCAGGAATCACTCCTGGCGGTGCTCGGGGGACCATATGGGATACTGGGAATCGAACCTGTGTCGGCCATGTTGGCTGCGTGCAAGGCAAACGCCCTACTGCTGTGCTATCGCTCCAGCCCCGCCCTGAGATTTTAAAAAGTGCCACTTTCGAGGCTCTTTCAGGGTCAGGAGAATGAGACCCATTATTGTTACTGGTTTTGGGCATACTGAATATGCCACGGGGAATTTGCCAGACTCTGCTGTGTGGGCAGGATACTTTTGGTAGTCTGCCATGTTCTCTAGAGTAAGAACTAGATAATAAGATGTCATGCGGCCACAAATACGGCCGCGCGCTTCTGAGAGCAGGGTTTTATAGTCTCTGGGTCTTGGCCATTGATGGGATTACATGGCGGAGGCAGTTGGTGGGTATAAAGCCTACATACTGGAAGGTGGGGGATCTGGGTGGAGGAGGCCCCAGTCCCAATCCGAGGAGGCTTGGAGATCTATGCCCCAGGTCTTGCACACCTGGGTTCATCTGCCTGTTCCTTCATGCGTGAGACTCATTCAAACATGTGGAGAGTGGTCCTAAGCATGGCTGTGGCTGGAACTGGAGGTCAGCTGCTGGGGCTTTGCTCGGGGTGGCGAGGGAAACTCAACCCACCCTCCTCCAAGGGGTCCTGGTGAGGACAGCTAGGTGCGGAGGCAGGAGACTTTGTGCTGTTCTCTTCTGGGAGCAGGGTTTTAAAGTTAAAATTTAAAAATTCTTGATTCAACAAAACATTAATCATTTGTACAGTATCAAAGTTTCTTTTTTATTTATTTATTTAGTTATTTATTTATTGCTTTTTGGGTCACACCCGGCGATGCTCATGCACTCAGGAATCACTCCTGGCGGTGCTTGGGGGACCATATGGGATGCTGGGAATCGAACCTGTATCGGCCATGTTGGCTGCGTGCAAGGCAAACGCCCTACCCGCTGTGCTATCGCTCCAGCCCCCAAAGTTTCTTTTTTAACTCTATCATTCTTTGGGACATTTAAAAGCCCATTAAATATAACCCTACTTTCTGATTTTGGGCTACGTCTGGCTCACGACTCACTCCTGGCTCTGTGCTTAGGAATCACTAGAAATCATTCCTGGAGGTGCTGTGAGGAACATATTCATTGCTGGGGATTGAACTGGGTTAGCCGCATGCAGGGCAAGTGCCTAACCCCTGCACCATCTCTAAGGTCCTGAGTTTCTCCCTCTTATATTCACATATTAGGTAATAAGTTGGGCAAATCATTTCCGTTTTACTCTCAGGATTGTATATGTTTAGGGAGAAAAGAAACATTGAATTTCTAAGTACAGAAGTATGATCGTATTTTTTAAATAGACTCATGGGCTGGAGAGATAGTTTAAAGTGATGGAAGGTATCCTGGCATGTGCGAGGTCCTGAGTTTGATCCCCTGTAGAGGATGGCTCCCTAGGCATCCCCAGACATCAGTCAGTATATCTCTTCTTGGCCCCTGCACCACTGGGCCTCAGCTCCGGACCTGATATATTTCCTGAACCATTAGGCACAGTCAGGGAGGCCAAAAGCTATCAGGAGTCTCCCCACCCCCACCCAGTAATGCTTGTGAGGCTCAAAAGAGTAAAAGTAAATTTAAAAAAATAATTCAATTTCAGGAACTTACTTTTTCACACTGCATTTTTGTTTAGAGTAACAGTCTGGACTTCAGTGCTTCTCTTGAACATTTCAGTGCCCTTGTATCTTGCAAACTATTAGGTGACTGCACTAATTGAAGGCTACTTTTAGTACTTAGCTAGCAAAAACAAAGAAATGACACAAGGACAAACTGGCTATATCAATGGAAAAGACTTTAGAAATTTTCATTATGTATTTCTTTTATCCTGAACCTGCCAGGAATGATCCTAAGTACAGAGCTGGGAGTAAGATCCTGAGCATAGCCAGTTTGTGGTCCAAAAACCATTTAAAAAAGACTAAATAAAAGACAAACAAAAAAAATTAGTTATGAAACACAATGTATCTAGTCTATTGGATTAAATCATCTTTTAATTAAAAAATACTGATATCCTAAAACACTTCTCTCTCATTCACTAATAACCAAAAGCTATTACTTCAAAATAAAGTTCTGAATGTAACATCTCATTGATTATCGTTGATACAAGGTTTGATTATTTGGAAAAGGAACTGCTCTCACAAAAAATGACACAAACAGGTTTAGAACTTTTAGTTACCACCAGTTAAAACTTCCCTGTCATCGATGCCAACTCTTTTTCATAATGTTTCCCATTTATTTTATAAAGCAATTCCCCACAGCACCCCGCAGTCACAATTCAAAGGCACAGAACTTCAATTCCAGTAAGGGGCTGTTTTTGCAAGCTTTCCTTACCGTCAGTGGACTTCTATGTTAATAACCACCCCATCAGTGTTTGAGGGACAGACAACCTTCTGTGTGAGAGGCATTTTTCTCTTTCAAAATTCTGACTAAATCCTAAATTGAAAGAAACATTGGATAATAGTTGATGAGCATGCTTCTAAAGCCACTTTTCTCCCTAGCAGTTCTGATTAGTCCCTTCTAGCCAGTACGAAAGAAGACGGCTTCTGTTGGACACGCGTTTCCTTCCTAGTCCATGTGCCAACGTTTTGTTAAAATCCTCAAGTTGGGAGGTCCAATTGGAAGCAGCCCTCCGGAGAGACGCCAGCCCTTGCTTCCACCCTCTCTTCAGCCTGAAGAGTGAAGACTTCTCCTGGCCACAACTGCAGTGCTATCGTTCCCTCCAGATAGCTGCGCCTCCTGAGCCAGCGATCCCACACCCCTTGTCCCCATGTCTCCACACAGCATTACCAAGCTTTGCTTGTCGGCTCTACTTCCTGTCTAGAAACCAACTCCCCCTTCGTGGGGAGTTCATACTCTGCACTCCTAGCTTGCACAGAAAACGCCAATAAATGTTAGGAATCAGCTCCCAGACTTACCTTGTCCCTGCCAACCACCTAGGAAGAGGGAAAATCTGAGTAAAAGGGGTTTAAAGATCCCGTGCAAATAAATCACCCAACTATAATTAATTGATGACGTTTTTAGTTTCTTAATATGCTATGTCACAGATTTGGTTTTGAGGTTTTGTTCTTGTGTTTTTTAAGCTGAGGGGAAGGGCAGACCCAGCAGTGTTCAAGGGTTATTTCTGGATCTGACCACTGGCAGCGCCCCGAGGACCATATGCAGTGCTCAGGACCAAAATGGGGCTGGCCACATGCAAGGTAAAGGCCTTAACCCTTGTACCCATATCATATCTCATTTCCATTATCACAATTTAGGGTTTGCACTGATTCTGCTTACAAGAGTACAGAGGTTGTTGGCCAGGAGATTTTGGTTCCAGCTTCTTCATCATACCCAGTAATGAGGTTGCATCAGATGTCTGCCATCACAGAGCCTGCTTCCACACCGGGCAAAGGAGATGTGTGCTCCAAGATTTCTGTAGCCCATTTCCAGAGGCAGGAGTCTATAAACAGTGACTGCATTGGGAACTATTTTCATGGATGTCATTTTAGGGCTCAGATTGGAGGAATACAAAGACAACATCACATTTCTAAACGAAAGGGCTAGATATACAAATAATATAATATGCTATGTCAATAGGATATTTTCTTTAGATTATTTCTTTATATCCAGAAGACACATTTGAGCAGTCTTATTTGTATTTCTCCCGTTAGGGCTCAAGTCACCCATTGAGAAGTTTGCCTTATGCCTTACCCTGTTTCTAACATGTGCATGGAAGCAGGAGAGCTTGCAGGACTTTTTCATATGGTTTCGCTGGTTTGAGCTTCCCAACACGCAGGACAGGTGTTACTTTTCTAGTCTTCCTGAGGAAGCGAGAAAGGTCCAGAGAAGGTTCTCACACTGTACTCCTCACTTGATCAAGAGGACTCCTAGGGACAAAGAAGACCTTGAAGTTGTAAGGTGTTTTACTTCAATGAGATTTTGTGTGGTGCCAGGAAGAGCTCTAGCCAAGTTTACAGACAGGAAACACAGCCACTGTATAGAGACCACCAGGGCAGTGCCACTGCACAAGGATCCTGGACCACATTGCTTAAACTGTCCACCAGGAACAACAACTGTATTTCCAACCCTGCTTGCTGCCACCACATTTTTTTTTTTGTTTTGGGGTCATATCTGGCAGTGGTCAGGGCTTACTTCGGGGTTCACATACAGGGATTATTCCTGGTGGAGCTTAGGGAACCATCTGAGGAGACTGAACGCAGGTTGGCTGCATGCAAGGCAAGCATTCCTATCCACTGTACTATCTCCCTAGTACTGTTCACTTAATCACTTAATCACTTAACTTCCCGTTAGTCATCGATTTGCTCGAGCAGGCGCCAGTAACGTCTCCATTTGTCCCTGTCACGTGCTAGTGTAGCCCAATGGCATCTGTTCGCTCCGGGAACATGAAGGGCCTCAAACCGAGTACTGTTAGTGCATTTTAATCCACAGGATTAATAACCGACACCCACTAACAAAAATAATAGTAAGCTTAACCTCTTACTTATTCCAATATAACTCATAACATAATCGTTCTTCGAGACCACTCTATCTTTGCTCTCTAGAACAGTACCTGACATAGTAGCTTTTTGGTAAATATTCTGATGAAGGAATGAATGAATACATTACGGACTGCTAAAGAATATATGACAGCATTACAAACTTAAAAGTTTGTCCTTCCTGCTAAAGATATCCTCTACCTTTCCATTAAAGTAGGTGTGTATGTATACACCCATATAAATAACCACAACACATTAAACACATACATTGTTCAAGCACAGTATCTGGGAGCTCTCAATAATTAGAGGGATCACTGTGAGTGATCCAGCACTGTAATTATAACTGCTTCTTTTTGCATTTCTAAATGCCATTTGAATTTAACATAATTAAAAGGGCTAATGAGCACTCACAAAATACCTACTGTTAAGAGTAAATCTATACAGACTTACCCTTGAGGGAACAGCCCTGCAGATAAACAAATTATTGCCCTTATCCAACATTCTGCACTTTGTGAAGATTTCCTCTTCGTACTTAAAGAATAGTTAAATCATATTTCACAAGTATTTGGTGCTTAGTTATTGGGGGTGGGAGGGAAAACACCTGGCACAATGTACAGGGCTTCTTCTGGAGGTGCTCTAAGGTCCATGCGGTGCTGGGGCTGAAAGTGGGCCCTCTGCAGGCAAAGTGTCCCCTTTGAGTCATCTCTCTGGCCCATTACTTGGTGCTTACAGGTATTTCAAAAGAAAAAAAAAAGACTTGCCTATCTAAATTTTTTTTTCCTTTTTGGGTTATACCCAGCATTGCGCAGGGCATACTCCTGGCTCATGTACTCAGAAATTACTCCTGACGGTGCTCGGGGGACCATATGGGATGCTGGAAATTGAACCCGGGTCAGCCATGTGCAAGGAAAACGCCCTACCCACTGTGCTATTGCTCCAGGCCCCTATCCAAAATTTTAAGTGATTATCTGAATAGTTCAAATGTCCATTTATTACTATAGTTTTTTTGTTTTTCTTTGCTTTTTGGGTCAAGCCCAGCGATACTCAGGGGTTACTCCTGGCTCTGCACCCAGGAATCACTCCTGGAAGTGCTCAGGGGACCATATAGGATGCTGGGAATCAAACCCGGGTTGGCCGCGTGCAAGGCAAACACCCTACCTGCTGTGCTATCACTCCAACCGCTTACTATGGTTTCTTAGTGATTGAACACAAAAATAAAAACTTGTTAGGCATAGCATTTACCAATATCAATTCTCAGGAAAACTTGCAAAAATGATGACAAGAAAAATAATTTATCAAATATTACTCTACAACCAGCTCTTTTTTAATATTTAAAAAGCAAATTTCTAAGACTGCTTAGACTAAATTTTATTTTATCATATATGCTTTACAAATTATGTATAATTATGTACCTTTAAATTACCTTTGAGTAAAAAATCTTTGAAGAGAAGTCAGGTTATTTTTAGAGTGTAAATAATATAAATCTAAACAATTTTACAAAGTCTCAACTATGAAAACTTTACTCTGAGAAGTTAAAAAAAGTCAAAGCTTTATAGTCAGGAAACACTCTAAGATTAGGTTATGTGTTACCTTTAAAAAAATAAATATGGACACAGAATACTGTTTAAATGTAAACATAATATACAACTAAAAAGAAATCGACATTTGGCTACCTTGAATGGCCACCTTTTCATTGCTGCTGTTTTGTTTTGGGGGCCACATCTAGCAGTGCTCAAGGCTTATTCCTGTCTCTGAGCTCAGGGATCACTCCTGGCCACACACAAGGCAAGCACTCTCCCCACTGTACTAAGGCACCAGCCCTCATGTCTTTTTTAAAGAAAATATGTAAAATTGTTCTCAAAGACCATTTATCAGAATAAACAGACTTTTCCAAAATCACCCAACTGTCCAATAAGACTAGTCCTTTGGTTTAAAATTATTTTAACGTTAAAAAGCATTGAAAATTTGAGAAACGCATACTGAGGTGAAGTAGAAAGAAACAAAGGGAAACATCTCAAACAATGCCACATGATACTTATATAAATATATATGTGTGTGTGTGTGTGTGTGTAATAGCTCAGTTGCTTTTTAAAATATCAAACAAAAGATTTAATGTTACTTAGTAGTATTTGTTTCAAAACTGTTTTCTTTAAGAAGTACTGTCTGGATCATATGTAACTCCTTAAATGGACAATTATCAGGAAAACTGGCTGTAAGGATAAAATAATAGTGTGAATGAGCTATATGCAACTTCCCTTTTTAAAAACAGAAGTCGAATCTGTAACACCAAATTTAGAAAGGAGAGTGGATGGCAGCAAATACCACGAGAAATCATCTATAGCATCTACGCCCACAGCCATTCTGTTCTGTTACAAATAAATGTACAATCTACTCTAGGAGTTTGTTCAAACAATACATGCATTTAATCATTCCTAAAAAGGATTCTTTTAAAACATATGTGATAGAGTCATATCAAATTAAAAAGGTTCTTGCTTAGAAAGTGCCAGGCTCCCGAACACTTTGACTACCTGTTTTATTTGACCTTATTACTCTTGAGTGTAACACAGTCCATACTAGGGTTGAAGGCAAATGACTTTTGTAGAAATAATATTGGCAACTTCAACACCATTCGAATTTCCTTTAACTTCCTTTAAGAAACTAAAGCCCATATTACAACAATGTTTAAAAATGTATCTATCTAAATAGATCTGTCTATTTTTTATTTTGTTTTTGGGCTATACCCAGCTGTGCTCAAGGCTCACTCCTGGCTCTGGGCTCAGGAATCATTCCTGGAGGTAATTAGGAGACCAAATGTGGTGCCATGCGTAGAACCCAGGTCAGCCGCAATCAAGGCACGTGCCTTACCCACTGTACTATCTCTCCAGCAGAACAATAACATTTTTAATCAATCAGACATTCATTTTCAATCCATTCTGGTTTGACACTAATAAGACCTTATGGTTTTAGTTTTAGTGATTAAAAAAAAGCCAAACAACTATAAAGATAAAGGCTCCAGAATTACTATTTTCATATTACTGCCAAAAATGAAAAGTGAGAAAATGAGAAACCTTTCCAAAAACTCATCAGATGAAAAAAACAGAGTTAAGAGGAGTCATACCATTAGGGAAAAGAATATTTTTTTGTACATGAAAATAATGTTAATCCCATGTAAATACCAATTCTTTCTTGAACTCATTAATAAATAAATATAATTCTAGTTTAAATCCCTATGCATTTTCCCACCATGGAACTTAGTAAGCAATCCAGCATTTCATCTGGAGCAGCTAAGGACAAAGACAGCTGCATTAAATTTAAAGAACAAGATGTGGATTTATTTTATCAGATATCAATAAAATCAAAGTATTGGGGAGGGAGATGATATGTAAAGATCCTGTCTTACGTGTTTTAGACCCTGTGTTCCATCCTTGGCCCCACAAAACAAACCAAAAAAGGTTCTAAAAATTAAGACAGAGTGATACTGGCATCAGATAAACAGACCAGGAGAACAGAACTGAGTACAGAAATAGACCCACACATCGATGGAAGCACTAACTATGACAGAAGTGAGACTATGGAACCACAGCAAAGAACAGAATAAATAGCCAAGAAATAGTTAAGGATTACCTGGTGCTTTCATGAAGAAAAAAAAATAGGTACCTAATTTTGTTCCAAAATACATTTAGTCTCTTTAGGTGGACTAAGAACTAAATATGTGAAAACAAAGAGGAGAAAACATAAGATATGTTTATGGCCTTAGGCTAAGGAATCTGCGATCATTGTCTCTGAAGAATCATTGTCTACTTGATTCTACTTTGCTCTGTGTCTTGAAATCTTGAACCCTGGGGACCAAGGTCTGTTGCCAACTAGCTTCCAGGTGGATTCAGCAAAAGGCAGGGCTCAGAAAGCAGCCAGGAAAGAGAAGCCGGGTATCTCTTTCCTGCTCCTTCCGCCCCGTCAGGGCTGTCCCCACACCTCTCCACAGTCACAGCTCCTGCTAGGTGGCTCCTCCAGGGTACCAACCCTCCTGGATTCTGGCAACACCATTTCCTCCCCTTTCCTCTTCAGACCTAAGGATAGTAACAGCTTCCTACTCCTCTTGGTCTTCTATGACTCAACTCTTGTCACATTTCTGTAAAAAGTCCCTTTATTAAATAAAGTCTCTTGTTGAATCATTTGAGGGGAATTGTATTTCCTGTTGAAACCCTTTAAGAGTTAAGAAACAGGACACCCTCAAGGCAGAAACAATAAGCTCAGGAACTTTGAATACATTAAAAATTAAGCATCTTTAAACAAAATATATTATGAACAAGATAAAGTAACTGGAAGCTCCAATGATACAAGTACTTCATGTGATCGATAAAAGTTAGTGTTTAAAATTAATTAAAAACAAC